CATATAAACGTAGGTATGTATTTGTATATATATATATATGTATATATGTATAGACATACACATGTACCTACCTACCTACCTACCTACCTACCTACCTACCTACCTACCTACCCACCTACCTACCTACCCACCCACCTACCTACCTACCTACCTACCCACCTACCTACCTACCTACCTACCTACCTAGCTAGGCAGGCAGGCAGGCATCCATCACGTACATACGTGCATGTATGGTTATATGCACGTATGCATGCAATCTACGAGTACCTGATGATTTGATTGATTGATTGATTGATTGATTGATGGTTTTTTGCTTATTTGAAAGTGCTCCCGTGAATCGACTTCAAATGCCCGAGGCCGAAGAAGTTTTGCTGATGCATTCCTTTGACGACCTGAGCATGTTCAACAAGCTGTGCAGCGCTCTTGGCCGCGGTGGAGAGAAGCTTGGGAAGCAAATGCAAAAGCCTGTCCCTGAAGGGAGTCTAGCCGAGCCTCTGCATTCTCAATGATCATTATAACTGACCCGGGAGCTTTTGTGCCCGGGAGTCGCGACTCGCCTGGGATCTCAAAATTTACACCAAAATCAAAACAGTGCGCTGCCTAACCGTGCTTCGTAGCTCCTAAACGTTTTACATACATGTTAACCCGGGCTTGTCAACTCGGAGCTCTGTGTCGCTCTACTTTCGAAGAGAGATGGCCAATGGAATGGCCAGAAGCGCGGCCAAGGGCCCGCAAATGCGATGGCTTGCGCTGACGCTGATCCTGGCGGGGCCACCGTAGCCATCGCAGTACTGGCAAACACTCCGGGTGGTGCAGGTGCAGACGCCACAGCTCACCAGGTTTGATGGACAGGAACCGGAGGCGTGGGTGCTGGCCGGTGCCGGGCTGTTGCTGGGGCCGCTGCTGCCGATGCTCGCGGGTCCCCCGTTGCCGTCGCACCACTGGCAGGCGATCCGGTCGGTGCACTTGCAGACACCACAGTCGACAGCCCCAGCCACGCCGCAAGAAGCCAAGTGGCGGGGCTCATTGCCACGCAGGGTGGAGTTGACAACTCCTGAAGGCTCCGCCACCACGAGTCCCAAACCAGCCAACACCATGAGGAGAGCCATAATGACCTCTAGAAAAGTTAAGAACACTAAGAGCTCGGACTTGCAAAACGGGCTCGAACCACCGGCATCCGTGCTTGTTCTTGGCAACTCGAGGCTTAGAGGCTTTGTTGCCCGAGCTGGATTATGGGGCCGAGCTCTACAGGATCCGATACGAAGAGAACCGTTGCGTTCGAGTTCGGACCGCAAGAGGGTTCAAGCTGCGGCGGGAATTGCAATCTATCCCACGCTCATGCTGGAACTGTTGGACGCCCCACGTTCACCAATACCCCGCTGCTTCTCGGATCTAGCACTCAGATGCTGCTTTGCATTCATGACATCCTTCTGGGGGACTCCCGCACTGGAAGCCCGTCACGGTGCCCACACGACGCCGTAGCGAAGTAGGCATTCGGGTCTACAGGGCTTCCATCACAGTATATAGGATTGGCGACAGCTTGAGGGCCATCGAAGCCTTAAACGACCGGCTCCAGCTTAGGATGGACATTTTGTCGCGCACCTGAAGGCACCATCTATTGGGTTTTAAAAACATCCCAGTTTAGGCATTGGTGATGCTTTTGCATCGGGCGTTCTGCGACTTCACGCGGCAGGCGTGATCCTACACTTCAACTTAACCAACAGAACAGGCTGAAAGCAGCAGCTGAGTCGTGGGCTCATCGCTCATAAAACGGACATTCCGCAAGGCATGCGACTCTTCTTGCCCGAACCTTGAGCCCTCTCCTTGCGGTTTAGGGTTTGGGTGGGCGTGTTCCTAAGGTTCTGCATGCGGGCACCTGACCACGACACAAGAAGCTGTAAGCTGTCATGCCCACTCACACAAATTCAGATTTGGAACAATGCCCCGGCCAGCTTTCGGTCTCAGGCGAGCTGAGAGGCTTAGGGACGAAGAGAGTCTGAACCCCGCGCTTGCGCTGCGCCTGACCAGCCCTTTGCCCAGCTCCTTAGCCCCGAAACATCAGTCCCCAACCGCAGCCTCGTACCTTACATCATGCGCAAGCTCTAGCCTAGCCCACCCCCGAGTCGCGGAAGTCGGCGGTCCGCGCCATTTTCCAGCTTTCGGCTTCGAAAGTTTCCGGTTTCGGAGCTCTTCGAGTCGCCGTCGCTAAGCTAAACGATTGGGGCCCAGTTCATGTAGAAGTTCGTAGCTACGGCTCTGAGGGGCGGAGTATGGCATTCGCACCATGTCGTGTGCCGTAGGCGAATCCCGAGCTTCTTTACAACTCTTATCCATCGGAGCTCCAAGTTCGACAAACCTTACAGTCGTGGTCAAACTCCTTTAAACAACCTTCGCAATGCGCAGCCTCTGGACATGAGCCCGAAGCTCTCTGAGTACCCTGAACCAAACTTGACGAAGTCTCAGCCCTGAGAATCTCTCAGTGCGCGCTGCAGCAGGGCCTGCAGTGAGGCTCAAGATTTTGAGGCAAAGGAGGCTAAAGCCTGAAGGCCCGCAGGTTTGTGGTGCTGGAGCTTTTGATTTTGGGCGTGTCTTGTTGGGCCTGGCTTGGGTGTCACGGGCTCAGGAGGACTCCTTAAAAGCGGAGTCAAAACATAGGACCACCCAGGTAAGCTTATGATTTTGAACGAGCGGATTCGGGCAGGCTGACGTGCGATGATGCCGACTCATGCACGCACACCTTTTCTGCACCTACCTATCAGCATCGCTAGCTTGGTCGAAAGTGCTTGGTCGGTAGGCCCGTCTAGAAAGTGGCATCTCAGGCATGCGAAAGGTCGGCTCGAAGTCGAAGGCGTCCACATACTTGGGGTCCATGGCCTGCCAGCGAATATACGGCTCCTGTTGGGCCTAGGCTTTCATGTGCTGTAGGGCGTGGCCGATGCACTGTATTTGGGGACTGCCTAGATCAGCCTCCACCCGAACTGATGCTAAAGACCCTATATGCTTCACGACCATAGTCTGTTGCAGCGTTGACTGCTCGTTAGCACAAACCCTTCTTGCCTAGCATTGAGAGTGTCGAAACTCGTAGCGCGTTTCGCCGAGAAGAGAGGGTGTAGGGTTCGCTTCTTGGCTGCCCGCAAACCCGAGAGTCCTGATCCTCCCAAAGCCGGAGACCTCTAACTACCCAAACCTCAGTCCTAAGCTACGTTGCTCGCCGTCGAAGGGTACTCCATCCTCAGAACTCCCACACACACCCTACTAATCTGCACAGCACTACAGTCCGTAGTGGTGCTCGGGTTCTTCTCCCCGTCATCGTTATCTCGTTAATTGTGTATTGCTTGTTTGTACCGTTATTAACGGTTAAGCTGTCTTAACGCAATGGCTCTTGCCATGTGCAATTGCCTTAACATAATGGTTAGCATAGCAAGACTTCGCTTGAAGTTGTTGTCGTCCTTCCGTGTTCCTCCTTGCCGCCCTAAGGCCAAGCCGTCACGTCGCACCTTCGAGCTGGCTCCTTGTCTTCCCGGAAGCTTCCTCAGACGCACTTGGTTGGTGCTTCAGGGTTTCGAGCCTGAGGCCTAAAATACCAAGTATGCTTCTTGCTCTTGAAGGCCTCAGGACAAGGGTGAGGCCCTCCAATCCAGCAGACGAGCACCTCTATGCCAAACGATAATTAACCCGATTAGATACCCTGTCATAACACTTAAAAGACGAGCTTCTCTTTGAGGAGTGGCCGGCCGCTGGACGGAAGGCCTTGCTGCGCACCTCGGTCAGCGTTGCGGAACGACCCTTTCGGGTCTCGAGCGGTTTCGGGTTAAGGGTGGATACTTGGCTTTCTTGCTTTGTTTTGAGAGGTTAACGCTTTGGAAGTTTCCGAATTGGTTTGGGTCACCGGATACCGTTAGACATCCTACATTGACGGGCTTGGGGCAACATTTTCCATGTCGTGGGAGCTTAGGACAACCGCAGCTACTTCCTGGGTGTTGCTGTAGGGGTTTCTCTGTTGAACCCAGGGGCTGGGTGTATGCCTGGATATGAGACGCCACGTGTCCGCACTGAACCCTACGGCGCAGACAGCCGGAAGGTCTCAGTCTCAACCTCCTAACCAAGCCCTAAAACTTAAGAGTTTCTGAAGCACAGGGCAAGAAAAGCCTCTCCGCACATCCTGCACCTCTAACCAAAAAGCTGACCCCGCAGTTGAGGACAGGGTTCAGGGCCAAAGATGTGAAGGTTTCTTGCTTCGGGTTTCGGCGTAAACATCGAGTCCAGGAATGAACAAACCAAGTCGGGATGGATTGTGCAGTACAACTTGACGAGCTATTTGAACAGTGGCACCAAGACTTTGCAGAGTGAACTAGAGCCTCGCTCATGTATAACCGATGTAGTGTTTTTGGTCATCGAACTGATCCGCCGCAACCCTGCAAGGATATCCCTGGATATCCCGAACCCAAACCTTCCTTGAAGCATGGAGTACGTCCAACGACAAAGTTGAAGGCTGAAGTTGAAAGGCGAGGAAGGGTCCGCTTGAAACCCAGTGCTGTCCAACTATCCGCAACTTTGAAGACAAACTTCTCAAGTTGCTCTTCGGCTCCAGGTTCTGAGACAGTGTCATCAGGCATATGAAGGAACCCCGAGCTAAATATCCCTTGTGGTCCCTATACGTGCATACTCACCACAAATTCCGGTTTCAATTGCTACGGCCCTTTATTATTACCTCACCGTCAAAGTTTGGAGGAGCCACCTTTCTGCGCTGGCTGCTGCGAGCTGGAAGACGATGATGCGCCCTGGTCTCTTCCGTTTTCAACGAGGAAAAGGTTGGGGTTTCGACTCTTGCAAACAGCGCAAGGCAGGCAAGGCTTCTAGTCGACTGGGTCCACACTACCGGGGTTTGCACTCTAACAACACGGACAAGCCAGGCACACCAGGGTGTTTGGGGATTTGGCTGAGGGTGTCGTTTCTGTGTTTGTGTAAAAGTTTGACCGATTTCGCGGTTTGGCGTGGATTTTTTTTTTTTNNGGTGCAAAAACAAGCAGCTCAGGACGGCCATGGCCCTCCAGAATTGCGGTTTTGGGTTTCGGCTTTTGTTTTTTTGGATTTTTTTAGGGTGCGGTCTTAGGCTAAGTCTCATGCAGGAGCCAGCACAGTCAGATTGCAGATTGCAGCAGGCCTCATGCACTATTGCTCGGACCGACCAAGTCGTTGGAGTTTTAAGGTTGGACCTTTGACTCAGAGCTCGGGCAATCGTGCTGCTCCCACTCGGTTTTACGCTTTGACTAATTCGTCCCCAATGAAAGTGCCAAGACCAAGAGCCCTAATCAGAAGCCTAAACAAACGATGCATTTCTGAGGACCCTTAAAGGGCGAAAGTGCCCCTGCTTTCTGGTACCTCCACGGTCTGAGATCCGCACTGACAGGCTGCCGGGTAAGAGGGTCCTCCTCTGGCGAGGCTTTGGCGGATCATCCTGGGCCTCTTTGCCCTTGCCTCAGTGAATAATTACCGTTTTCTGTACTTCTCGCAACACCTTCAGATTTTTTGGTCGTCGCAGCAGCCCGGGAACACCATGGTCACAAACACACAGATTCCCAGAGCATCCGAGTCGCCGAGGTGATCTTGCCATGCCTGGCTGACGGCCAGTGGTTGCCTCAAATACGCTGCAATGATGTCAGGGCTTGGGATAGACAGGAAGCGTAAGGTCTGCAGCCGTAGCTGGAGGTACCAGTATTCTATGCGAGGAATCAAAAATTAGGGCATGTCGAGTCAATGTAGAGGCTATCCTCATTGGCGACAAGCCAACCAGCAAGAGAACCATCCCAAGCTCGCAGCTTCGTGCCCGGAAGCTGTTCCTTGGATCCTTCGGTGACGCGCCTGCCACGGTTGCCAGGCGGCTTTGCAGCTTCTGCTTCGATCTTGTGTCTTCAGCTTCCACTGCTTCTCTCCTATAGCTTTTCTACTTTCACAACGAAGGCCTTTCATGGCAGTCATGCCAGGTCGCATCACATCATCACAAGCATTGTCCAGTGTCGTGATCCTTGCTGTCACCTTGGTCGTCGTCATTTCCATCTGCGAGTGTCATTGTCACCAGCTGGCGCCATCCACATCAACTCTGTCGCTCGCACCGCCATTCTCGCCATCAGGATCGTCATCCTGGTCAGTCTTCACACCAGCAGGTGGACGCATGGATCCGATCCGGGCCTGGGAACGTGCACAAAGCAGGGCTGGGATTTAAGGAGACCGGCCCTGACCATTCGCAGAATCTGGAAAGTCACACTGTGCCACCTCTTCCGAATCGCTTCATCTTCCTTGGCCTTCTGCACCACCTGCAGGGCTGCACCGGTATTGGACAGGGTGGCAAGTTCCGCACTTCGGGGATTTCGGCGCTCACGCTCAATCATGCCAGGCGAGGTTCTTGGTGTTTAGTCGGTTCGATTTGAGACCTGTGTTCCAAGAAGATATGCTAAAGATTTGCGTTACAGGCTTCAGGACTCACGGCTTCGAGTCGCAAATTGTACCGCTCAGGTGACCTCAGTTCGAAACGGCCTATACTTGCGTGAAACGGACTTTCGGCCAAGGATACCTGCATAGGAGACAGCCTCCGAACCCACAATCCACTCTTTGCTGAGGATCTCGCTACATCACAACTACTTTGAAGCATCCCCAAGCCCCGAACCTGGGCCCAAAGCCCAAAACCCATGATTGCTAAATTCACCGGGGCAAGGGCCTCCATACCCTGCTGCTGGCGCAGGAGATAGTTTCCTGGGCAGACTCGGGCTTGGAGCTTTCGGCTTTTCTTCGGGGCCCTTCCCGGCCCTTCCCTTGAAGGATGCTGCCAACAACTATGCGGAACCGTCATCTTTGTCAAAGCTGAACCCAAATTTCAGCCTCAAGCCTTGGAGCTTTAGCCGGGCCGACAGTGTCCTACAGCTCACCCGTACACCACAAGCCATAAACAACCTTAAACCCATGACCCCGTCTTCTCAGCTTCACATGATTGAAGCTCAGTCGCCGATGGCGACTTGGGAAATCACCTGAGCGAGGGACCACTGCTGCATGTCGGCAAACTGACGGTTCTTGCTATGAGTGAGGACGAGGCTGGCGACGGCTACTACCGACTTGATTGAACAGCAGCCCTGAACTCCCAAGCTTGAAACTCACCCGTCTCCAGCTGAGGCAGGGAACTTGCATTTCCTCCGTATACAAGCGATGGTTGGGCTTGCTGTCCTCGATGGCAAACATCTTTCTCACCTCGCGGTTGGGCGATGAGCTTCTTTTCACGTCGGTAAACTCTTCTTCCTTACCACCGGTGCTGCAGCCGATGGTAGCGATGATCATGACAGCGATAGCGGGATGGAGATCATGATGGGGATCGACAGTCATCATCATCATCATCATCATCATCATGGAAAACAGCGTCGCCATCATCACAGCAGGCGACGCCAATGTCGCTGCTCGTCTCATAATTACGACTCCTCCCATGTCCATCACCATCGCAACGGCCGCCAATGTCTGTCTCAATGCCAGGCTTGAACCACCTGTGAACATCCCCAAATAGAACTTCAGCAACACATGGGAACTCCCAACACATACCTCAGAGCCGTAGAGAGTGTGAGACCTGCCTTTCAAAACGCCCCACCCCTCTTCGGGCAGTGCCGTCTCTAAAATCCCATAGCGAGGAATCTTACAAGTGAGAATCTGCTGGATCGCCTCCGACTGGTCAACCTCTGCAGCAGAAAAATGATCCGTCAATGTGCAGAAACTCCACCTCAACGTCGTTTCATCAGTCTGAGATAGGATGTTCTCTACGAGGTTAACAGGCTTCTGATTCTGGTTGGAATCTCAGACCCGTGATAGTGCTTCCCAGGCCTGGGGAGGTACAAAGGACTGCAAGAAAAAACACGATAAGCAGCAGCACCTTCCCGACGTCTGGGCTCGGAGAAACTACCCAAGTTCTCCCAACTGGACGATCCCTACAGACCTGATATTGCTGAGACATGGCACGGACAAGAAAGTACTAGTTACTAGTTGCAGCATCAGGATGGCAGGTGATGCAGGCTTTTGAGGAGTGAGGTTAGTGTAGATATGCAAACTCACGGTCCATGTAGCCGTAGGCCGCCAACAACAGAAGGCTCGGCCGGACAGTTGTCGTCGTCGTCGTCGTCGCATAGTGGCGGAAGGAGCCAGCTTCTTCGGTCGCGAATGTGAACACTGTCTGTAGGATTCATGGACGAAGGATTCCAGGCAGCCCGCATCTTCGCCGAGGGCAGCGCATGATTCTGACCAAAGCGGACCAACACCGGGAAAGCAGAAGTTATGAACATTCCCTGGCACAGTGGCTCAGCTCTCCGGCCACATAAGAAAGGCCTGGAGCCCTGAAGCTCCGTCCTTCTGAACCTCAAGCCCTACAAGGCCCTACACCCTCAAGGCATGCAGCCCCCAGGAGCCTCTTTCCAAAAGCCCCTGAAAAACCCTCCAAGCGACCTTGAGCCTTCGAGCTTAGGCCCAGGCGGCTTTGGCGCAGGAGTCCTGCAGGAGACCGTCGCTTCCGGGGTTTTGGTTGATTTTTTTAGGTCGCTTCAAGATGCCCGAGGTGCAAAAAAGCCTCGTACCCTTTTGAGGCTGTAGTCTGTAGGTTTCGCAACTGCACGACACCATCTTCTGCCGCACTTATTGAAAAGGAAAATTTGGCATCACAGCTGCTTGGGATATCGAAGTTCTGCCTTCCTGCACGAAAACTCAGGGGAATGGCGGATTACCAGCAACCAGGTGTTTTTTGTACTGCTTCTGCTGGTGCCTTTTGCCGAGTGTCGGGTGCACCACAGGGACGGCCATGGCAAAAACAGCTCAAGGACCAAACACAAAAACGTGGAATATGTCATCCTAGCCCCATCAGGCCCCAAAGCTAACAAACCCTCAACACTGCCTCCCCCCGGGCCCCAGTTGCGAGCGAGCATCTGATAGAGCACAATGGCCGACGTCTCCGCCGCAGATGCAGAGGGTGCGTTCTCGAGAGCAAGTCGGCTGGCTTCCTTTGCTTGCGCTTCCTCCTGCCCCGGCCGAGTTTGAGGTTGAGGGTCTAGGAATCAGGGCTGTTGCTTCGGGATTATTGTGATGTATAACCTTTGAGGGTTGAGGTATCGGATTTCAACAACCTTCGGTTCATTCATGGCTCAGGGCACATAAAGTTTACCTTTGGAGAACGAAGAGTCTCGCGACACCCTCAGTGTTGTTGGGTTCAGCGAGCTCGGATTGGACTTTGCCCGAAGCAGACTTGGCCTTAAACCCCAAGCCCTAAACCAAAACATCGAAGTCTAAATTATGCAAGCCCACTGCTTGCCGTGTAAGCCACGACCCCCTCCTACCACCCGAAGCCCCAATCCTTCTGAAAGATCTACACAGCCTCACGGAACCCTATCAATTCCACATTTCTGGGCAGCCCGCACGTATTCCCTGAGCCAAAGCCCTATCAATCCCACAAGGAACCCAAACAGCCCATGGCTTCAACGACGAGAAAAACACAGCTCAAAGCCTCAGCGCCTGCAACTTCCCAGCCCTAGAAGCCTCCGACGCCGAAGCTCTTACTGCAGGGTGCAGGTTTGTTTTGGGGTGCGGTGTAGGGTTATTCTTCCCCCTCTCGCATGGCTAAGGATCTATGCCCACAAGCGAGGATGACTTGAGTACGACGACAAGCTGTGCACTAGTGATAAAGATCGGCAGGGTTTCAGGGTTTCGGGGTTTGGGGTTGCGGGTGTAGGGTTTTGGGGTTAAGGGTTACAGGTTTAGGGCCTTTAGCTTACACCCGGACAAGTCCAGGCAAGGTCTCAAGACGAAAGAGACTAGCGACACATCGAAAGGCCAGGAGCTCAATTCCCTCCGCAGCCGTGCTGTTAATGGAGATCCACCTAAGCCTAGTGACCAACGCCTAGGGTTTCAGCCTTCACGGCTAAAAAGGTACCAGGCAAGTACTCAAATTTAGGGTTAGTGGTTTGGATTTCGGGGCTGAGGGTGTGCTTCTTTCCCTCGGGTTTCGGGTTTGCCTAGATCTGTAACTATTATCATTACAATCATAACCATGGGTTCACGAAGAGCGAGCGAGGTCTTCTATCGTGGCGTGCGATCTTATGCCACGGCCTTCTCGCGAGGCAAGGCCCGGAAACCTAGAGCCTGAACTGAGCCGACCTCGTCCTCAGCATCCGCAGCTGGCATCAAGAGCTCGTCCAAGTAATCCTGCCATAATTTATTCTTGGTGCTACGGGTTGCGTGGCTCAGGGCTCTAGGGTCGAAGGGTGGTTTCAGGTGCCGGGTGCAGGGTTCGATGGCATTACATAAACTGAAAGAACCACGGATTGGCTGTCAGTTGTTGGCGACTTGTGAATAAGTATATGCTCCGTGGATTGTGGCGCAATCTCGTGACGGACAGTCCCAAAACGGGTCTCCGCCATCAGCCTTTGCAAGAGACAGGGCCTCCTCTCTCTCCCTCTCTTTCTGGGGCTTCGGCTCCGTCATGCCTCTTTCAAGAGAACGCTAAACACCTTGCCTCAGGCTTACACCTCCAAAGGCTCTGTCGCGTTGGGCCTGCTCCGACAATGCCTTGGAGAGGAGATGCTGCCCCCTAATTTTATCTAATTTTCGTGATTATGCAAACACATGAGTGTGAGCTTGAATTCAGGTCCAAAAAACTCTCACATCCACAGCCCCCAAGAAGGGCTTCAAAAGTTTGACCGCCCACTTCCTGGAGTGGTGGAGCCGCCCGGGATGGCAGCTCGCCCGCATCGCCGTCCTTGCATGTTTGACGCACATCTGCCGACTAAGCTCTCGAGATCTCAGCATGAGCCGTTTTCCATGCAACATGACACCACGATTTTGGCTCTTGCTTCAGAACACAATTACTCTGCCGCCTCAGCGCCGACACAACCGGGGGCTGAGCCCACGACAAGCGATAAATGCAGCAGCTCTTGGCTTCGGCTGACTTCGGGATAAACCAAGTCAGGGGAACAGCTTTTCGTCGGGGGCAAGGGCCCGCCTCATTTTCACAAGCACCTTTGGGAAGAAAGGCCACCAGCGGCAGAACTTGCCATCGCGCCCTTTCTGCTGCTCCCTTATGTGCCTCAACTTCCAACCCTCGCCCCTGGCGCGACGTTGCGCATGCGAAGCCGCTTGTTGCTGATGCAGATCACAGGCTGCGGTTTTTGGCTGTCAGTTAGAGTTGGGATGAGCGGCTCGGTTTGGTTTCAAGCAACTGGTGGGATGGGCATTGAGCATGAACTGTCGTATTCTCCTAGATAGCTGTCAGCGATATTCTACGATCGCAGTCTTGACTCATGCACACATACCATAAACGACCTGCTTACAGTGCTTGGCTCTTGTGTTCTGGATTCGGATCATGATGCCCGAGAACTGGTATCACGAGCCCGCGCCTCCACGGCCAAGGCACCATCTGCGAGGCAGAGGCGACCATGCAGACCACCCCACCTGCGAGGCAAAGGACCACAGTAGGCTTCCGTGTTCCAGATCATGCGGGCTTAGAGCTTGGTTGCACAATACAAACGTCGCGATGTAGCGGGTCTGCCGCCGGCCGCCTCATAAAGCGACCGCCTTTCGCTCCACCGCCTGGAACAACTGCCTCGTGCAGCGCGCATGCCCATTCAGGTGTGCATGTGGGGCGTAAACTTCGGGTCTTGTAAGAACATCTCCCAACAAGGAGGGGAACGCAATCAAGGTTGTCATCTTCACACAGCAAAACGAAACAGCTGACATAGCGGCAACAAACGCTGGCGCAGCAGCATCAAGACAAATGACTGTGCAGCTCTGCTAGCTGCTAGGGCGCCGGATGCTGAAATTTCCGGAGACCTGAATCTCGCAGAGCTTGTCCTGATGGCCTCATAATCGCTGTCCTCACCCGGGTCCAGGCTGGGCAGCGTGTTCGTTTCCGGCCTCATCCAGACAGAATCACGATGCAGCTGACCACTTGGATCTGCAATGGCCCAAGACCCAACCCCTCCACTGCGCACCGGTGCCGCAAGTAAAGCAGCGGCAGCGGCAATAATAAGCAACATCATCGCCAGCGGTGATGTGCATATTAACTTCTGAATCATCACATTCGATGTCTTCAGCAAATCTGAGAAGGAGTGCAACAAGACAACAAACAAAAACAACTAAACCAAGTGCAATAAGCTCCAGAACAAGGACGGCGAGGAGGAGTGAATCATCCGCAACTACCACCACGGTTAGATTGTCTGCAACACAGCATGCGCAGCAGCAAAAGCACCAATAGCAACAAAGGAAACCAGCGCCCAAAAATGGACAACGACACCAAATGAAACATGAAACATGTCAGCACACACCACGTGCCAAATTCCTCCAAGCACGTAAATCAAACGACGGACAGCAGCGATTCACGACCACGAGCATACTGTAGCAAGCGCTACAGCCTTCACAGCATGGAACAAACTTGCCAACAACCGGCTTTCATCTTTCGCAGCTCCAACAACACTATCACTACCAGCAGTGTCGCATTGCGAGCAGCAGCAATGTCAACACCAAGCTTTACCGTAAAGCTCGCCGAGGCCGCAACGGTTTGCAGGATTCGGAGTCCTTCGTCTCTCTCCCGCTGGCGCTGGCCGAAGACTCGTCATCGGAGTCCTGGCATGGCTTATCTGATATCCTTACACTTAAATAACTTATAAGGCAACACAACATCCGTGGCATAGAGAAAAACGTGCGCATGTATGTACGAGTGTACCAGAAGTATTCTTTGGCGGTTGCTGGCGTGTCCGTGTTGCAAGAACCCCATGTTGTCTCGACATCCGGTGTCGATGTCTTTCGATGTTACAAAGCAGAACAACCTCAAGGCCAAACTTGCTCGGCGATGTGTTTCTGAAAGACCTTGCTATCAGAGGCATACAGCACAGGACTTAAACATAGTCGCGAATATTCGCGACCTCGGGAGATTTCGCTGAGGGTCAGGTTAGGGTATACAACGTAGCACTGTGACTCCAAAAACCATGGGGACAAAACAGTAGGTAGCCGCAACCTCTGGGCAGCTCCCGGACCTTGACAAGCTCAAATGTTCGTTCACAGTCGCACGCAAAGATGTCGGAGTTTCTGCTAGACCTTACCCGGTTCTGCCTTCTCGTTGCCAGGGACATAGCCTTCTTCCCACCAGTAGCGAACACCTGGGGTCATGCAGCCCGGAGAACCAGTCTCGGGATTGACACTCCCGGATTTCTACCGTAGTTTCTCAGCCTGGATCATTCGGTGGTTTGTGGGCAAGGGTGCCTTTTTCAGCGGCGGTCTTGGAAAGGTCGTTGTTAGCTCTTCGAGCCGCGCATCCAAAACGAAGAAGAGTACCGCGAACTCAAAGACCAACGCCCTGAAAGCTCCACTGCCTCAAACCGAAGAGTCGCCTTGACCCCCTTTTCAAAAGGAACTCTGGATATTGTTGCCCACAATCCCTCCAGCAACCAGGAACACACTGTCCGGAAGTTCTATGTCAGCGGCCAACGACAGCAAACGCCAGTGTGGCATCACACCAGGGCACTGGCAGCATCTGCCCTAAACCATGGTTCCTGCTTTGCTTACAAGGCTCGCTTCTTGTTCTTCTCTTCCAGCCGAACTTGGCCCTCCTCGGCATCGACCTCGCCCAGCTCTTCATGAGGATGCTCTACGGATTTGAGGTTCAGTGTAGGACAGTAGGATTTAGGGTGTCGTCTATCCGGTCTATCCGAACCATTACGACAGCTTCGCAGACTGTCTGTCAAGACTAGCTGCGCAATGTGATTTCGGTGCTGAAGCGCTCTTACCGCGGTCGGTTTATCTTAGTCTTAGTATGTAGCAATGCTCTCTCTATGCTCCGCGCATATGGCTGCTACGGGTGGTGTTGAAGCTGCTGCTACCTTTGCAACACTTGGCTTTCCATTTCTCGACACTATGGAATATTCTTGAAGATGCATCCATCCTAGTGACATTAATGCTGATGGCTTCTGTTCGTCCACACGTGCGATCTTGCAGGTGCAACCTCCTGCACCTGAATGCAGCATGCAAGTACGCATGCGGATGCGAAAAGCCTTTTGTTTTGCTTCTCGCATATGTGTCTGCATGTAGGTAGGCATGCGGGGTACGTGCCTTCATGTTTGCTGCAAATTTCCGATAATTTTGAGATTTTCATCGCATGCTTCAAAAAATTGGGCCCGCAAAGCTGTCTGGGAACCTTGGGCAGTCTCTGTCCCCTCCGGCCTGGTCAGCGTTGTAGGCGATGTTGCTCTGCGGGATCTTTGCCATGGCTGCTTGCAGCTATGAACTCCGAGCTGTGGCTTCGGCCATGGGGTTTGGGCGGAGGCCGTATAAAGTAGAGTGGCTGATCCGGAGCTGTATGTCTCTTACCTGCCAGGTGCGCCGACTTGTAATGCAAGACAGCCTCACAATTACAAAATACTGTGAAGGTGCCATGAGATGAGAGCCGACAGTGGGCCAAGCACAAACATACGACAGAAGCAGCTAGTAAGACGTTGCAAGCAAAATCAAGCCCCGCAGCCCTGCAAGGAGTAGACGCCCCACAAGCCCCAAGCTCAACCCAACATCCACCCCTGTCTTCGGGATTCGGAAAGGTGCTATCGGGCGCTGGAGGTCCGTACGCCCCAGGTCTCCGATTGACGACCGGACTTTCTAAACGGCAGCTATGTCGACAGATGTTGTGGCAAGCCCCACTGGCCAGCCCGAAGGCAGCAACACAAACCATAAAATGTAAACGAAGGCCGGTGTGACCGTGACATGTTTATAGCCTCCAATCGTGCTCCACCGCACACCCTGCGTGCTGTGTGCGAACCCTGTGGATGAACCAAGTTCTGCACCCCAAATCTACCGCCATGCGCTCCAACATGGGGCCTTCGATTTCGGTTTGTCTGCTGGTCTAACCTCAGGACCAGACATCCCGAAGTGTCAAACTAAAGCTTTCGCTGCTGAACTCTGAATGCGTGTACAATGAACACATCTCAACACATACCCGCTTCATGCAATGCTCGCAGCAGATTTTGCAGGGTTTCCTGCGTTCAGCGGCTTTCGGCGTAGGTTTTCAGGATCTAGGGAACCGGAACCTACTGGCAGGATAGTCTAGGTTTAAAGCTTGCCCTTCTGGACTCGGATAAAGAGGTTTAGGAGCTTCTAGGGTTGGAACTCCAGGGCTGGGAGAAGGCTGTGATGACATGATTCTGGCATTGATGGTGTTTCTGCCGCAGTTTTGAACCCCCACATGCGAAATCCCTCGAGACGTTTGTAAACCCTACCTATGACCTTCAACACTCCAGGATAGGCTTTATGAGCTTCAAAACCTTGAGCTACACCCGGAACTCCGAACCCTGAATCCACCCTCCCGGCCTGGAGATCTTGTTTGAAGAGGCCGGTGCCCGTTGGGATGCCATGGCCTCACCACTTCCCGCTGTTTTGTACCGTTGTCATTGCCTTTTGGATTGTTGGAGGCTTTCTGGTCGAAGGCTTTTATCGTCTCAAACCTTAAGCCGGAACTCCTATAGTCTGTAGACGTGCATGTGTCCTCACCGGTCTGCCTCAGTACAACTAGTCAGCCGCTGTTGATGGTGAGATGGGAAGTTCAGGCTCCAAACCTGATACTGATGCCGGTTCTCCAGTACGGATCCTAGATGCTGAGCGACAAAGGTAACAACAATAACTTTTGCTATTACCATTATGATCATTATTACTACTAATATTACTATAACTATCATTGTCATTCCTTCTTAGAATCAGAACCTGGGCAACAGAAGCTCAATACTCGAGAAGCTTCGGATGCTGCCCCAGCCAAGTTTCGTACGTCTCAGCACACGCCCGCCTCCCAAGCCTGTGTCCCAAACCCTTATAACCCTTGCAGCTAAGCTTTGAAGCAGCCCTACTTTCGCGCTACAGCCCCTGCGGTATTCTGTCCAGTGCTGTGGGCTTCTAGGTTTCCCAGTAGCCCCTTAGAAATAAGGGTGCCCTTTTTCCGACGATTTGGTTTTACTAAGGGAGCCCAAAAGGAACAAGGGCAAAAGGGTCCTACTGGGAAACCTAGGCTTCATAGGGGCCTCGAAACTCAGTTTGAGTTTAGGGCTTATAGGGGGCTTAGGGCTTAGGGTTTTAGGGTTTAGGGTTTAGAAACATCTACGGAAACCTGGCAAGCCACCACGAACAGACGCTGAAGGCTCTGTCCTCCGGGATGCTCAAACCACGTGGATGTGGAAGGATCGAACCTCGCGATCTAGGGGGGGGCCTGGTTGGCCTAGAGTCTTTGAGCCAACAACTTATAGCGGGTATAGATAGCATTCCGGACTTAGATTACATCTTGCGGCCGGTTCAAAATTTGGCACCAATGTCCCAGACCTGAGCAAAACCGACCAAGTGACGGACATACCAAGAAAGGCAGATTTCGAGAAAAAAAACCTCCAGACCACGTCTCAACAAGAAGCAGCAGACATTCAGGATAGTAATCCGAAGCTGCACCCTTAGCCGCCCAAAGTGCTTATTGAGTCAGCAGCTCTTGTGGTCCTAGCAATAGTGGAGGTGGCAGTAGCAGTGGTACTGGTGGTCCTGGTCGCAGTGCTGACGCTGGTGGGAATGGTAGAAGAAGTGGAAGTAGAAGTAGTAGCAGCCCTAAACCCTAAACCCTAAACCCTAAAACCCTAAACCCTAAAACCCTAAACCAGAAACAGAAGCAGCAGCAACAGCAGGAGCTGGCAATCCTTGCTGACCGTTTTTCTTTGCCCAGCGCCCCCGACGCCCTCAGCTTGTCCCAGATTCCAAAGCCCTACCCTACAGCCTAGGACAGTGACAACCCTCTTGCTAAAACACCCTTCAACTCCTGAAACCACCACTAACTAAACAGTCCTGACTGCCAAAGTCTTGCCATGCTTTACAGAGCAATCCCGCTGTGAGCGCAGGTTTAGAATGATCAATCTCCAAACCCTATAGAGCACCCACAAAACCAATTTCACCAAACCTTTTCTAGCAAAGTCTACGGCAAGCCCAGCAATCCCAAAACCCCAAGCACTCAAAAGCTTGATTTCGACAAGCTCCGGTAAACTTGGAGCCCGAAAACCACACCTTAAAAAAAAACATGCCAGTCGCAAACTTTGACCACTCAATACCAAACTACGACAGCCTGAACACAACACAAAAGCAAACCTATGCATTCATGAGTTCAAACAACAAGAAAGAGACACATAGATCGACCGATAGTCAGACAGGTATATAGACAGGTAGATAGATAGATAAATAGATAGATAGATAGATAGATAAATAGATAGATAGATAGATAGATAGGCATATAGATAGATAGGTAGATAGACAGACACATAGATAGATAGATAGATAGATAGAGAGCACAAGAGAGGTCGATCGAGCAATCCATAGACACGCACGCACACACACAGAGACACAGAGACCTCCGAGACCCCTTAAAACCCCAAAGTTCCCAGACACCGCACCGGGGCTCCGGACAAGGCGGCCAGCGCTTCGCTCCGGGCCTTCGGCACCAGGAGATCATTGGACCCTGGGAGAGGATCTCAAGCGGCTAATGATATGATATAATATAGTATAATATAGTATAGTATAGTATAATATAATATAATATGATATAGTATAATTATAGATAAGGGAGATCTCGGGTTCGTGGGCTCCCCCGGGGCCCAACAAAAGAGGGCTTGAGGGGTTCGGCTTTGGGATATGAGAGTTCAAGCTTCCTGCGCCCGAAGCCCTTGGATGTCGGGCTGTAGCGAATTATCGGCTTTAGGTGTCGGGCCCACAGTCGGACCCGCATTCTGTCTCTCGCACTATCGGAGATCGGGCAAAGACCAGGGCTAAAGACATGCACATCTAGGATTATCCGCTCAGCAGCATTCGCGACATTACTCCGGATGTCCAAACTGAAGTTGGGCAACCCACTTTGCATTATAAAGCTGCATTATACTCCAGACTCTAGACTGATCCTCTTTACCAACGGCTGCGCAGCGGAAGAGGGAATGTCCAAAACGAAGGAGTCACACGGGCACAGCCGAACATGATAAGTGCGAGAAGCTACAGCTCGCAGGAGCAGACACTGCAGGGAGCTGACAAAGTTTTCAACAGCAGCCTGACTAAAAGCCCAAACCCATCCCTCACACCTCCGACGCTCAGCTAGCTCAACTCTGCCGGCACACCAGCGACCGAGAAAGGTTTGAGAACCATAGAATACCCCTTGCACACATGGACTGCTGAAGGACATATGCTCCACTGGGACCGGGATCACATTCGCGCCGATGGTGGATGTTCAGCCCACTGTGCAAAACTCACTGGCCCTCCAAGGAATGCCACGCATTGAGGGGTGCCGTCTTTTCACCACAAAAGCCTCCCCCCAGAGCTTGGACCCCGAATTCTGCCTAGGTTGGGTACAGTAGAAGCTTTCAGGTGTCGCATGCCTGGCAAGTCTGAAATCCGAACTGTGAACCATATAAAGGCGAAGTGCAACTCTAAAGTTGACATGCCACAGCCAAAATCAAATCCTGCGGGCATGTCTGATATCTCGGATTTGGGCTTGCTCTTGGACCCCCCCCTGAAAATTGGTCGTGCACGGCAAGTCTGGTAGCCGAGGATTCAGCCGGACACGTGAAGTGAATGCGCTCGCAGCCTCTGCCGTTCTGTATAAGATGTATGTATGTATGTTTGCAGATGCTGGCCGTGTTTTGCTGTGTTCTCAGTAGAGCAGAACTACGGAAGCTTTCCATATGCACACAAACTATCGCCATGTTTCCGCATGCAAGTGCGGGCACTGGAGGCCTGTACTATGCATCCTGTAAATTCTGGGGCTGCTGGTTGAAGCGCACTCAAGGCAGGACCATGGTTGGGGCTTAAGGCTTTCGGGTTAGGGCCACGGAGACGTGTGATGGCGGTGATGAAAGCAAGAGAACTGCAGTCCTGCACTGCAGCCATGAACGTGCAAGTAACAGGAAGCAATTGCTTGCAAGGATGGTTTCGAACAGCTGGCGACCTCTGACTCCAGGATCTGCCACTCTCGCATATCCTCGAAACCCTAAGCCGGACTCCGACCCGAAAGCCTTCCCAACCTGGACCCGCAAAAAGGGCAGATTCGCTCGGGCGCTGGCACATCTCCCTGCAGGTATGCAGCCTCGAGTTCGGGTCGACTCCCAATGTCAACAACAGTCCTTCCGACAGTTCTCCAATCTTCCGGCCACGGCCCCAGACAAGATGTCAACAAAGGTTTCGTGGTGCCGTATGGGCTGATTTGCCAAATGCTACTAATAGTGAACTCCACAACCCTAAACTAAACCCTAACAGTACCTCCACCAAGAGTTCTGGATTTCGGAGCGCTCAGAGTCGCCAAGCGCAGGACCGTGGACCGACCGGAGGAAGACTGAGAGAGCAAGCGACGGACTCTCTCGAGGTGTCTTTCTAGAGCCTCCGGCCTATGGCCTTTTGAAGTTGCTTGCAACTCCCGAAGATATCGAAAGAAGATTGGAGAAAACAGGCTGCTCCAACTCGTGAATACCCGTGCGTGGTGGTTTGCAACAGAACAAGGTCCTGTTGGACTGCGATGCGCTTTTCTGACGAAGTGCTCGCAAGCCAAGCTATAAGCCGGTATTGCTAAGGATCCGGGCAGGTGCTGCGACAAATTCGGTGTTCAAGTTCCTTGTCGCTACTGACGCCGGCTTCACAAAGCCAAATAATTGCACAAGCTCTACTTTCAGAGCGCCTGCACTGGGTAACAACTCGTGTACACCCGATGGAAAAACTTGCACGTGCAACATGAATTAGACGATTTGAAGCACAGAGAACCTCTTGTTGAGCAAGCGCTCTTGCGCCTGCCCAATGGACAACTGCACTCCCTGCGAATTCCGTTAAAATTAAAAGAAAGGACGCCCTGCCATATCGGAGCCTCGAAGCCACGGCAGGCTGCTCAGTCGGTTCCAACATGACCCAACCTTTGTAGCAAACTGCTTGTGGCAACTCCCACGTTTGCCAGGTTCTTCTTCAGCATCCGGCCCATGAGATCCCTGATTTGCTCGTCCATGCTCTCTAGGCTGCCCAGCGACGAAACGATGAACTCGAAGATGCGAGTCCTGCAACACACATGTCTAGATCCCTTGAACTCCGTCTGCTCTACTCAGGTTTGGGGAGGGTTCCGAGTGGGGCACTGGCTGTCCTGTCCAATTCACTTGAAGCAGCACAGTTTACCACTTGCAAAGACTCGATCTTGTTGCCCAGCTCAAGTGCAATGTCGAAGGATGTGCAACCATCGTCGCCTATTACGCCAACATCGGTTGCAAACACAAGCTCCAAATCGAGCTGCTTGGAGAGCAGGAACTCGAACAGGCACCACACTCCTGGTCAAGCGGCCAAGCGAGCATGCAAAATCTGAGCCCTACTCTCACGAATGCGCCAGTCGCCGAACGCAGTCCTAAAGCTTCACATCTTACGAATTTCGGGAATTGGCAGAGCCCTCAATGCCCAGCAGACTTTCCCCTTTGACGCGCAGGCTCTGGTAAGGGGCTGCACTTCGTGATCCAGGACCATGGCCACACCTTTGATGTCACCACGGAGGGTTCGGGCAAAAGCGCTGTCCATGATGGTCTCTCCCAACCTGAGCAGGTCGAAACACAACAGGTAAAACTCGCGGGCACCGTAGGCCGCAAAAACATGCTATTAAATTTTAACCCAAAACCCCTTCTTCCGAAGATCGAATCGAGCCCTGTTCCTGATGATCCTTTGGGAAAGTCTGCACGCAGTAAAGAAAGCACCTTAAAGTAAACCAACTGCTTGCTCCCCAACCTGAACTGTAGGACCCCTTGATCTCAGCTCAGTGAAGGGCGTGTGTTTGCGGAGGGTGCCCATTCAGCACACAAAGACTTGTTGGGCCTTCCACAGGGGCCCGCGATGGTGAAATGAGTGGCCAGTTCAATACTTCGCACCTCAAAGTACCCCTTAACAACTCAACTACCCCAGCTTGCAGTTCAAAATGTGTGGGTTGCCCTTGAAGCCTCAAACCCTAAAGCTCTAATCCCTAAAACTGTAAGTTCTAACTCTGAAACCCTTTTTGCATCCATGCCGATTACGACTGCCGGAAACCCTGAATCGTAAAACCCGGGACATCCCAAAACTGTAGAACCTTAAACTCTAAGCCACGACCGCTCTCGCGTCCGAGAGACTCTGCCTCGATATCCCACTGGTTGTTGGCAAAAGAGCAAATCCAGTAGCTCACGTCCATCCTTTGCTCGGTACGCGGCTTGGGGGTCTTGGGCTTTGGTACTCTTCTTGAGGGTTTCACAGTCACGGTTTGGCCTTGAGGGCTTTTGGTTTAGCGGCCCGGGTTTCTCATTTAAGAGCTATCGAATGTGCCTCACACTCCGCCCTAGGGGTATATGCGAAACTGTGCTGCATGCAATGCCCATCAAGCCGCCAGCGCTGACCTTCCCTTGATAGAGCATGGCAGTGAATCGATCGTACAAAGTGTGCGAAACTTGTGCCCCACGAATGGGACACAAAGTAGTCCACCTTGCGAAGTCTTGGGTGTGCAGGCTTAGCAGGGCAAGGCTCTCCAGGCACGAGAATTCTATTGCGGATACTCTCATACATTTCAATCATGCTCTGGCTCTACTATCTGTTCATGTTTCTCAAACCTGAGAAGTATCATCACCTTTATGCTACCAACCTTAGGATTCGCACCGTGGCTTTGTTCGCCCTCTCGTTCGTGGTGCTTCTATAATTGTTGTTGGTCCTATTTATTGACTGTGTTTCGCGTGCGGGTCATGGGGCAATGGCAGAAGCCCGTCCTGTTTGGAAACACCTGCCTGTCTTCCACCCCAGAGGCTCACGAAGGACACTTGCTTGTCGCGAGTCAAAGGTCTGACCATGTTGTTCACCACAAAATGCATGTTGCGATCCAGGATGAAAGGCTCGAAATGGCCCCAAAGTTCCCACAAGGTCAGGACCATCAAACCTGAGTTGTTCAGCACACGGGCATTTACACAAACAGAAGGGTTGTCCTCTGCACGGGTTGGCCAACTCTGAGCCCAGAAACCTTGTTTGCTGGGGTGCGTTGCATCCGGGCCTGGGTGGGGGTCGAAGTGGATGCGGCGCCGGTACTCATCCAAGAGCTTGGCGAAGGGCGTTCTGTGGCATCGCTGGTCTATGAGCCATGCGACACCCGGGTGAAGAATCAGAGCTGCCAAGCACACTGGGAGGGCACAGTATCCAGCAGTGACAAGAACATGCATCATGCCGTTGCCGGACATGAATGCAACTTGAACCGCGACTGGCAGCAACACCGCCAAGAACAAGGCCGCGCATAGTGCCAGCATCAGACGTGTTAGTTCCGCAGCATGTAAGGCACCGATGGCAGCTGCACAATCATATGGAACATGTACATCTTGTACTTCAACTTTGCTGCTCTCGATACTGAAGATCCTCACTGCCTTTGCATTCTGAGGACTGAAGTCCAACCATTGGAGGCCCGTGCCTTTGACGCGGTAGCAAAGCTGCCGATAGAGCTGCCGTGAGAGGAGTTGTGGGAGATCGACAATGGGGCCTTGCAAGGACATGGCAAAGGATCTCTGCTCCATCCAATCTGGGAAGGGCCTACCTGCTTTCCGTAGCGGGTGAGGGATCCGCTGTGATTTTGCATCTACGATAACCAACGGAGCGTGCAGGATCTGGTAAAACACGAAGGCAAGGAAGACACAGCTGGCAGACGCTGCAAACAGAGCACCGAATTGCGTGGAATCCCGCGGCAAGAAGTGGCAGCTGTCAGACTTGCCATCTGACCAGGCGTTGTATGGTGCGCACTTGCGACATGTCCCGTTGATGAAGGAAGTGTGTGGTTTGCAGAAAGTACAGGTGTGCATCATGTCTTGCAGCATCACAACCTCACGATCAGCATATGCCCTCCGGGTTGTCTGATGATTTGCACAGGCGCATCTCTGCAGCATGCCTTTCGTTACCGATGCTGCCATCGGGCACACAAGTGATGGAGTGCTCAGGGCACGCAGTTCGCTCCTGCTTGCATTAAAAGCAACTCCATGCCCACAGTCCTTGCATGAAACATCCAATGAATCCACTGTGAATTCATCCCTGGCTGCCAAGATGAGAGCATCGTGCAACGGTGGTTTGTAGCCGATGCTGACATCGGTAACCACCACCTGGTGTGGCCGTGTGTAGCTGCTCAGTACAGGACTGGACCAAGAAAGGAGGTGCATATGCGAAAGGTGGACGACTTCAACGGGGCAGGTTTGCAGGGCTAACAGGCCCGACCTCAAATGTCCGCTAGCCGTCAGAGACGCTCCAGAGGCGACCTCGAATGTACGATTTGCGCAGGCGCTCGAGCAGTCTGCATTTCGCAAGTCGAGGCCGTGGCCTCCCACAACATCTTCTAGGAGTACTGTCGCACCTGGGCTGAGCTGCATACACCCTGCGGCTACCACACTGGAAAGATCGCCGCCCACTGCGTGGTGCACGTTCAGGCCGGACCCAGATCCCACCAAGAGACGATTCTGCACAAAGGCTGCCGCCCCTAGGCCCTTCACCCTGGAGTCGCTGATGATTAACATGCCTCCATCCAAGACCAGATTGCCCGGAAAAGCGCCTGAGGGTGCAAGTGGCTGGCTCGCCTACTGCCTCTGCCTGAACCTTTCCCTGCTTTGACTATAAGAAAATCTGCCAAGAATGAAAGGCGGGCGTCTTGTTGAGTTGCCAGAGTGGGAAATGTAATTGTCGTTGACAGCATACACGCCTCCTCCGTGTAGTTCGGCCGAGCTGTTAGAGATGGTCAGTGTGGAGGCCGCCCCGACCACTGTGCTTCCTTCAGTGTACAAGCCTCCCCCGAATTGGCCGGCTGTGGTTTTCTGGATGCTGACAACTGAGCTGTCATTGAGTAGCAAAGTCACAGCTGCCACTCCCCCACCATTTCGAGATGTTGCGTGGCAATAGGAAGCCGCCACCGTGGACCAACCAGTGATCACAACCTGTCCACCGGCAGAGAGCCCTCCACCGTCAGAGGCAGCGGTGGCATTCCAAACTGAAAGGCTGGAGCCATCGGCAACAAGCACAACATCCGATGCTGAGTTGGGAAAACAGCCGCATGCAGAGACGCCACCTCCCTGCTGTCCTGCTGAAGTTGTCCGGACATCGACTGTGGAGTTCTGGGTTAAGTACAATCGTGAAGCGGACAAGCCTCCGCCATGTCCCTCAATGGCGCGGCTGTTGGAAACCACTACCTCGGAATGCCCAGTGACTAATGCCTGGTCTTGCACGAAGAAACCTCCTCCATTTAGACTTGCTTGGGCCCGCTTGATGTGTATCATCGATCGACTGGTCACTTGCAGGTTTCTGGCTCCAAAGCCTCCTGCGTTTCCTTTTCGGACTACGGCGTCGGAGATCACGATGCTCGAGTTGGACTGCACCACCAGCTCTGCGTCAACGACAAACCCTCCTGCATTCTGTCCGGCGGTGGCAGTTCGAATTCGGATGGCCGAGCCGTTGACAACTGACAATCCATTGTTTGCCACAGTGAAGCCGCCACCATTTGCAGCAGTGGCAGAATTCTGAATTCTGATTTGTGAGCCATCACCGACCTTCACCGCTCCACCCTCTGCGAGGAAACCTCCGGCATTGAGTCGTGCTTTAGCATTGTCAATATGAATGGCTGAGCCGCCAGTCACTTGCACCGCAGGCAGACGGTCTGGAAGTCGCTGATTGGCGAAGAAGCCTCCGCAGCAGCCAGTTCTTGCGAAGGAGTTGCGAACGGAGATCTGGGACCTGCCGGCAAGGACAAGTGGTCCAAAAACCCCGAAGCCTCCTGCATTTCGTCCAGCCATTGTGCCGCGAAGACTAATCGTCGAGCCATCGGAGACCACGACCCCTTTCTCCGACCGGAAACCTCCGTAATCTGACGTAGCTGTGGCATTTTCGATAGATACTGAAGAGCGACCAGTCACTTGCAAAGCAGATGCGCTGAAGCCTCCACCCTCACGTGCATGGCATTCCGAAGCTTCAAGTTTTGAAGCGTCTGTAACCAAAACCTTTCCTGCAGAGAGAAATCCTCCACCGGCCGTTGCCTTGCTAGCACGCATGCTGAGCACAGAGCTGTTGGCAACAAGAACAGTCTCCAGAATCTCGTGGTACGGATGTACCGCTTGAAACCCCCCTCCAAAGACGCCCGTGCCACTGGCCCAGCAATTGTGGATCAAGACTGTGGCATGGTCGGTTACTTGCAGCCTGGAAGTAATGAAGCCTCCACCACTGCCCTTCTGCGCGTGGCTGTCACTGAGCACAAGCTTAGAATAACCTGTGACCACAGCATTGGAACTGGCAGATCCTATGTAGAAACCTCCTGCATTCGTGCCGGCAGTTGCACCGTCAATGCTCAGGCCTGATTCGTTCGCAACCAGTACACTCTCTGCGTCCGCCACAACAATCCCGAAGGCACCTCCCAGGTCACCGGCAGAAACATGCCGAAATCGAAGCATGGAGCCATCAACCACTTGCACCTTTCTTTTTGCAATCAAGCCCCCGCCCTGGCCTCTGACCGAATGGCTGTCAGAAACCACCACATTGGAAGCACCAGCGACAACAATGGCACCGTTAGCATAGAGCCCTCCTCCGTCAAACTGAGCTTTGGTGCCTTGAATGCTAAGAAACGAGCTCTTGCTGACGACAACCAGCTCTGCACCAAGGCTCAGCCATGTCAAGTTGCAGCCGCACACATAGAGGCCTCCTCCTGCCACTTCTGCAGAGCTGTTCTGGATACTGACGGCTGCATTGTCGGACACCTCGAGGATCGCTACATAGAGGCCTCCTCCAGATTCGTCAGCATGACTGTCCGAAATCATCACTCTGGAGTGACCCCGGACACGTGCTCTTGATTTCCGGATTGCGAATCCCCCTCCTACCCTTCCGGCGGAAACGTTCCGGAGCCTGATTGTCGAACCACCATCCACCCTAAGCTGCCTTGCGGAAACAAAGCCTCCACCATCCAACGTGCTGGCATGGCCGTCTACAACCGTCATCTCAGACATGCCCCCAAAGATGACCGAGCCAAAGGCCGCCAAGAAGCCTCCTCCGTATTGCTTGGCCCTCACATCCTGCATGACAAGGGAAGACCTGTTGGTAAAGCTGACGAGCTGCCCCAAGGCGAGGAAGCCTCCCCCACTAACTCCGGCTTTGGAGCTGTGAATGCTGATGGCTGCGCCATCGCTTGCGAACATGCTCCCGTTGGTCGCAAAGCCTCCAGGTGTGCCAACCGCACGACGCACGACCCCAGCACAACTCTCTCTGTCGCGTAGTCACTCCAGAATCCCACTCTACCTTTACCACTTGATGTGCTGCCTGACACACCCTCACCAGCACAAGATGAAATCCAGGACAGCAACAAAACAACATTTTCGGAATCACTAGAATGCCTCCTCCTGATCTTGCGGTCGTGCGCTCGAGGTCGAGGCTGCCAGCCGACACCGTGAGCGAGCTGTCTGACATGAAGCCGCCTCCTGCTGGACCGACTCAGCTTTAGGGCCTTTAGAGTTCAGGGGAGAGGGTGTCGGTCGAAGAATGAGGATGGGTTGAGGACTCAGGGCTTAGCTCACGGCTGACAGCTCGAGATTTCTTTGGAAAGATACTTCACAGAGATAGCTGAATGTTCGAAAAGTTGTGCAAGTGGTTCTCAGCGTCGCATCAAGCCGGCTCACATCCGAAACGTCTTGTAATACGGAATCTTTAGCATGCCCCGGAAGCAAAGCTGCTCTCCTAGTCCAAGTGCTCGGGTTTGCCTGACTCGAATCAGCGAGTTCTCCTTGCTCAAGGGACCATTGCTCGGGGGCAATGGGGAAGTTTGGAACCCCAGCTGTTGCGGTTTCTTGTCAAGGTGTAGGTCTGGGGAATCATTGGTCTTGTACTTCTGCACTGTCAGAACGTGAGGTTCATGGCTACTTTGCCAAAGACTCGCACACGAGCAGCATACGAAGTAACCATCACCAAAACAAGCGCTGACTTTCATAAAAGAAAGAGTCATGTCCAAGGCTATCTAATTAATCAGAATGACGTACATCCCCGTACACTCTTTGCCCGAACAGTTGCCACTTTGAAGGTATCATCCCAGGCCTCTGCATCCTCATATTGCAGCTATAGATCCTAAAGGGGCGCAGACCTTGACACTAACTGGGTCTTTGGGTTTAGGTATATCAGAGCCTGCATATCAATCTTCTGAAGCTGCATGAATCAATCACGTTGTAGAATCGCCCTTTCAGATTTCAGAGAGTCCACTCCCACACGGCTCGACATGAGTACCCATCATCCATACAAGGCTTGTGCTGATGAAGCCACTGCCTGGATACTTGTAATGTAGGGGCCTTCATAATTAGAATCGCATCTTGGGCGGAGTTATAATAAGGAGCCCCAAGGAATATTATTGGTAATTATTTACACCTCTATATTAGTTCCCATACGTTGAAGTAACATGCCTGGTCCCATCACTCCCCCCTCCGCACTGGCGATCACATGGGGCCCGCACCGTAATGACGACCTCCGGGCAGTGAACGTACGAAGTGTGGCGCTCTATGAAGACTAGGCTCCGTGGCATCTCCGGATAAAATTGAGATATTCTTTACCGTGCATAGAGACTCCTATCAGCCGCACAGCCCGGCCGAAAGTCTCAAAAGCATTCTTGACCACCACACTGCAGAAACTGAAAAAAATAACCGGTGCAAGTTGGCAACAATATGCAAAACAGCCCATGCTAGTCCAGGCTTCCCGGGCCTCTCCATGAGCGAAAAAACCGCCACCATGCCGTGCCGCCGACGCTGACTCCACCATGATCTCAGACCCTCCTCGAAGACGCCTGTTTGAAGCTTAAGGGGTGCGACTGGTTGTGGGACTACGACTTCCAATCCTGCTGTTTCTGCCGCTTGTCACGCTACTTACTCTTCCTCCTCCTCCTTGTCTTCTACTTCTATCTTCTAATTGGAGTTGCTCTAGTTCTCGACGTCTACTGCTACAGCACTAAGACTACCTTTGAACACTACTACACATTATATCTTCATAAAGATTGTTGCTCCCACCGGCCAATCTCCTGCTGCCGTACGACCAACATGCGGGTGTGTGTCCGTCATTGGCGGGTCTTCTGGAAACAGCTGCTACATAGGCATGGATGCCGTGGCGCAGCTTCGGTTCTACGCATATCCCTCCTTGCAGTTTTTCAAGTTCTTGAGTATGCCGTCGTCAGACTGATGAAGATGAAGAAGACGATCATGACGGTGATGGTGGTGGTGCTGATGCCGGGAAGAGGAGAGACGAGAGCAGTGATGGTAAGCAGAGTTGAGATGGTCAGCCTGATGCTTGCTGCTTACGACCACGCCAGTATAAAGAACATGGCTTTGACGGTAAAGCTAATTTTCTTCATGTAGCCATGCTTGCATGTCTTTTCTAATGTTAAGAGAAAGACGCGGAAGTGACGAGTGGATGCGTGGACTATCTTTGAGACAGAACTGTCCGAGCTGCAGCTGATCGTAAGGGTTGCTGCCAGCGTTCTTTCAGACATTATCTATCCCAGGTACTGTGCAATCATGACCAAGCTTTGGCAGTGAAAAGGGCGGCGCCCACAGGCAGCCCAAAGCAGAATTCCGAATATCTGCGATCTGAAACGCTATAGCCACCTTGCGTGGTATTCAATGTCATTCATCCAAGTGACAATGATCCTGCGATGTGAAGGCCGCCGCCGTCCTCGAGCTGTGGGTCGCCAACGTATCAGGGCAGCTACAGAGGCCTTCATCACCAGATCCCACGTGAAGGCTTTGAGTTGATGGCCGCCCCTCAACAGGATTTTAGTAAGATGTAAATCATGCTCTGCGGCACCCCTGCCTGCAAGACCTGAAAATGTATGGATACAAAGAATGTGCACGTGGCTGCAGAACCGCACATGTCAAGGTTGTTGGGTGGTGATGGCGCTGCTGGTGCTGCTGGCAATTTGGTCTCACGGGTGTTGGTTGGGTGTGGCGTGGGCTGGCCGCCTGGTCTGATCTGGTCTGTGTTTTTGTTTGGTCTGGTCTGGTCTGGTGCGGCATGCATTGGACGGTGTGTGTTGGCGTGATGTATTCTTCGATGGGTAGTTGTCTGTGCAGGCGCGCTTATGTGTGTGTGCGCGTGTGTGAGCGTGTGGTGCGTGCTTGTGTGGTGCAGTGTCCTACATTTTACGAAAGGGGCACGCGGGAGAAACGGCGACGGGAGGGGTGTAGAGTGTTTCAAGCCCGGGAGGCGCCTCCTTCACAAGGATGCCAAATGAGGTTGCTGGCAACAGTTCTACCAAGATGGGAGGGGGGGGGGGGTGGTGAAAGTTGTCATGAGCAAGAACATCCCAAAACGTATTCTGGCAACAAGAGGTACATGGAAAGAACGCGGAGCAAATTACAGAAATGCATGCAAAGCTGCACGAAGTCTTTCCCAAATCATTTTTTGCATCCGGACTTGGGAAGTCGCAGCCCCAAACATCCCCAAACCAACTGGAGCTTTTCGGGTCCAGGTCCGATATGCTTATAATTACATAAATGGGACTGTCGGTCCATAGTTGATGCACCAGCTATTCTCGAGATCTCCGAAACCCTCAGCGTCCTGCGCCGCCACACTTCCAGTCACCTTCAGAGACGAGTTCTGAAGGAAGGTGACGTCCTCGGAAAGTGCATCTGCTCTGCAAGAGCCGAATTTACGGCAAGCAGTCTGATCATGCTCGAAGTCGAAGCTCACAATGAAGGCTCAACCAAGCCCACACAACGCATAATGCACACAAGGAGATGGATTGCGCTCAAGAACCCACCCGTACACATACGTGCGCAATCACTGGACGCACGAAGCAACAAAATTCATGAGCCTCAGCTGTGCCAGCAGCTAAGATACATGGTCTCTCCTGCTGCCACCTCACCCCCAAATCCGGTCTTACCGAAATCCTGAACGCCTAAATTCGGATCCATATCTGGCAAAGGTAATTAAGCCGGCAAGGCCATCATCACCATCACCATCATCATCAACACCTAACTTCATCAGCCCGCCACCAAGATCCCAAGCCATGACACCCCTTCTTGTCTGGAATGCTGCAACTGAAACCAAATGCGAGCGGTGACAGGGAGCAGAACGCCCAAATTTGAGCAACCATGCCTCACCTGGACTTAAAGTATCGATTTCCGAATTTCTTAAAACAAGTGCTTTCGCACTTGGAGGTTTTGACTTTCGTGTTTTCGCCTGGCAGCATTTTCGGGACCTCCGATATGACTGCACTTGGGGGTTCAATTCAAGCATCCAAAAGGTCGAACCTGCAAAACATATGAAGACACTGGCAGAGCTATGACAGTCAACGGAAACACACACTCTGGGAGATTTCTAGGTGTTGTTCCACCTTTGTTGATGCTGCACGTGTTGTCGAACTTGCGAGGCCGGAAGTTTCTATAGCCTGGCAGAAAGGGCAGAAGAGGCTTGTCATGCGGATGTATGTAGGCCTGAGCGGGTGACCGAACACGAGCATTGACCCTAAACTGGCGGTTTCCCCCATATTTCTTGCAGTTTAGTGACTCCACCAGCTGCAAAGCCACCTCCCCAAAGAGCGCCACCACTTGTCACCTTCGCTTTGAGGTCTGGGTTGAAAAGTAGGCTTGGAGGATGCTGCAGAGATGTCTGCAGGTCGTGATGGCCACACAACATCACACAACCATTCCAAAGAGTGCTCCCGAAGAAAGCCTTCAAGAACTCAGAAGGCTGCTTTGCTTCAGGTTTGGAAAACGACACACACTCGATATTTGGAAGATGGAGTCAAATCTAGAGCTGCTCAAGAAGAGCAGAGTGCAAGAGAAGGAGGACAAGCCGCGACAATCCTCTTGCCCGGAGACGGGGGGCTTTCTCCAATAAGCAACTACAGGTTGTCCAGTCCAAGAACTCTCAAAACGAATCCCTAAATCCATTGCCGAGATTGAGCCAAAGCGGCTGTGACGTTCGACCTTTCGAGCGTCATGGCTCCTACGATGTTGATTCATTTGTTTGTCAAAAGGTTCACTGCTCGGACACAGCCCTTCGATGAAACATCCGCGATTGTCGGAGATCCTGTGCAGAAGACAAGCCGCACACAGGACATGCGCCTGCCTGGACCCAAAGACCCGGCTTCTTGAGCTGCAGTTTGGAGAGAGGGTTTGCCAAGTCACATGTGCGACAAGAGCTCAGTTTCGAACCAACGCGAAGTACGACAAAACAATATCC